TAAACAATCATTTCCAAAAGACCCCAGCCATCACCACATTATCCTCTATAAAAAAACCAAAATAACAAATAAGCTAACTACATTTCCAAACAGAGTTTTATCTTACTGTTAATTTGAAAAATAAGATCCTTTTGTAGCTTTTCTTCTGTCGTTCATTCTTCCGTGCTGGAATTCTCTTGCTGCGTTTGGGCAGTCGTCCAGGCTGTGCCTCCGTCCATCTTCTCCCCCTCGGTTCTCTTCTCTCTTCCCATCTCTCTTAAATCAAGCTTTGATGTCCTTGTCCGTCTGAGTTGAGATAGTTGCCTGGCTACTAGATAACGGTCACCTTGTTCTTCATACTGTAGTTTTTTCTACTGCAAAAGAACTGACCTTGGAGATCTTGCTTCGATCTAACTTGCACACAGACACGAACGGATTTTTAGCCTAAGTTCGCTCCTATAAAATAAATCACTCTTCATCTTTCATAACCAAATTCATGACACTATCCAGTTCCGATTCGTCTCGCCGCTCTCCTAGAAAACATCAGGAGAAGAGAAGGCATCACCTGCTCTGTACACCCTCCCACACCGGGAGTGCTACTATTATCCACAATCCTCTCGATACCACTTCCAAGATGATAGAAGAGATAGATACTACCAATATGACCCATATCTACCTCAAGAATAGTTATCGTGAGCCTAAAAGGGTCTGCTATACTTTACTGTATCCACCCCGATCCTCACCTTCACTCTCTCCATCTCCTCCTCAACATCAACACTGGCCTTAGCATTCAATACTGACTCATACAACCCTTCCGTCTAAACCAACCTTGAAATGCCCTTCATTGACTGTGGAACATTCTCAATCAAAGCATCCTAAGCATTTCTCTAAACATCTTCGTCAGGTATCACTGCAAGTTACTACTACTTATAAAGGTCCCCCTCCTCCGCCTACTAACACAGAGAAATATTGCACACAGATATTTCCACAGCACAACCTCCTTCCTCCATGCAAATATCAATGTCAAACCCTTGACACCAGTCTCCTTCTTCATCATCTCCATCAATTCAGGACCTTACCTCTGAGGTATCACAAGAATCACCATCTAATTTACCGATACCCGACTTCTGATGTCACTGAGAAACGCCCACCTTCTCCATCAGAGGATTTTTCTTATTCTCAACTACTCATGCAAATGATTAAATCTTTACAACTTGAAATTGAGGAACCAACACCACCTAAGCAGGACTTGGTGTTTGACGATATTAATCAGTTTGGCATTCATTCCGGCTATGCTTGATTTTATCAAGTAATCATGGGACAAACCTCCCTCTTCCTTACAAATTTTCAGATATATCGAAAATCATTACAAGACCCACAGTGTGGATACTACATTTCTCAACAAACATCCGACACCATACTCCATAATAGTAGAGTCAAACCAATCAAGAGCCCGAAATAAATCCTCAATTGGTCCTGCAAAAAAACAAGGGAGAAAATCAGATATACTTGGCAGGAGGCTCTATTCCTTCACCTCATTTTTGATGAGAGTTGCAAACTAACAAGCCGCAATGGGAGCTTACCATAAGCAACTATGGAACAAGATTCTCCCAGTACTTGAAACAGTCCTGGAATCAGTCAGAAGCTCTTAATATCCATACCGAGGCTTCCACACTCGCCAAACAAAAGAGGATTACATCTTGCCATATCGTGGATGCTGCCTTTAAAGCTATGGCCACCTCTATTGTGCTCTGGCGTCATGCATGGCTTCGATCTCCTGGGACATCGGACAATACCAGATCTAGAATAGAGGATCTATTGTTTGACCGGGCTGGACTGTTGAATGAAAAAACGGATGAAGTGATGGACAACCTCCATAAGATCCATAAAACAGTTCAATCCTACTCAACCCAGCAGACGTACAGATACCAACAGCCACAATATCAGGGGCAACCTTTTTACCAACAATCATACCAACAATTTCAACAACCATACAGACAATACAAACCTCAAACATTGGACCGACCCTTTCAGGGACCCTCAACCTCGACTCCACCGTCCTTTCAAACCCAGCAACAGCAACCACGCTGCCGATCCTTTCAGCACCCTAAAAAGTGTTGGCGTGGGGCCAACTGCAGAGGCTTTATATGGCTCTTGCCTCTCCAAAAGCTTGGAGT